CACAATCTGACAAAGCGCCATCAGTTAAAGAATACATCTGTCGCTCCTCCTGTCTACCGTGCTCCAACAGTTGAAGGCGCTGTCCACCGAAAAAAGGTTTCGCAGAACACCTACTCCAGCCAAGCACAGATGTGCTATCATCACTGCTGCTTCTGCTGTATGCTGCTGCTGCATCTGCTGCGCTGATTCTGTCTCCATGATTCCCCCAGGCGTTTATGCCATATGCACCCAAATAGGAAGGGCCCGCACAGGTATCTGTAACACTGCAAGGACAAATGCCCGTTGTTTGCTCCGGTATGTTTGGGACACGGCTTCTTTTGCCGTTGCAATGCCTGTGAATTCTGGTGCAGCCGTCGTTCATGTCACTACTAGTGCTGCTGCTGTCACTAATTAGTGCGCTAAAATTGAGATGCCGCTGAACTTTGCCAAGAAGAATTGGCCTGCCGAACTTGCAGGTCTGCAGGAGGCGGCAGTAGCGACGTCCTCTGCCTGTGTCATGATTCGGCTGCTCGTTATTGTCTTCTGCTGAACTGTTGAATCTGCCAGCCCCGCATTTGTGAGGGGCTCGCCCATTTCGCAGGGGACGTTTCCTACTGCCCACACTTTTCGCGGGAAGCGACCATGGCAGAGGATCCCTGGGGCTCCAAGCAGAGCTGTAGAAAAGGGCGTCATCCGGAAGATCCGGAAGTAACTTGATATCCTGTGCAGAAGGGGGAAGACACAGCAGCTCGGTGACTGTGCTGTACCCCTTTGGATGGAATAGATATATTATACGCCTGCGCCGACCCAGACATCTACAGCGCCCACTGGGACGCAATTCCGCATCTGCTGCCGCGCCATCGTAGCTTCCAGTTCTCGTGGGTTGGAATGCAGGTCGCTTAAGAACACAGCAGCATCGACCACCACATGCACTGCACGAACAGCCCAAACTACCGCCTAGAGTAGCGCCATGCTTCGCGCTGGTTGCCCATGTGCACTCTGCGCCCCCTGCACCTGTAGTAGGAGCCCTGGAAGCAGCCACAGCCAATGCTGCAACGGGCGGGCCAGCATTGCCCGGGCACACACCAGCTCGCCTGACTACCCTAAGCAAATCAGTAATGTAGAGGCACCCTACCACTTGTTTCAGTCGGCCAAAGTAAAGCCAGAAAAGAGCAGGCTGTCTGCTGCAGCCTGCCAGCAATAGGTGTTGCTGCTGCATTGGACAGCAGCAAAGGGCGGATGGCCTGACTGGTAACCGAAGCAACAAGCTAAATACGACAGACACAGGGGAAGTATTGGGAGGCCGGTAAGCTGTTATTATGGATGGGAAAGAATGCATGGCTTGCTCTGCTGTGGATGCATTCTCTGCTGCCGTTGGCTGCAGCATCTGCTTCTCTTCTTCCCCCTCTTCTGCACTGTCCTGGCCATCAATGTAGCTTTCACTGCCACTACTGGCCAGATTTCCCGTGTCAACAACTGTAGTAAGTCCTCCCAACAACCAGCTGACCTCACCAGGTGCTGATACAGGCGGTGCCGGTGCATCTGCTGCTATTCCTGTCGGTACAGCGTCGCTTATCCCCTCTGCAGGTGATGCAGCCGCCGATGCGCCGGTGAACACACCTGCAGGCGCCCGTTGCAGCTGCTTTTGCAGCTGTGGCTGCAGCAACCCGCTACTGCCATTATGAGTGCCACTAATGGAGAATACACATACACATGCCAGTGGGTCAGCACTGACAAAAAGCGCGGAGGAATCCGGAGCCCAGCAACAACAACACAGGCGCCCATACACCTCAGAATCATGAGGCAATGAGCAACTACCTAGGAGCATGCGGCACTGTCCGTTACTGTAAACAAAGACCCCCCAAGGCGTGAGGACCGCAATGAACAATCCACAGGGCGACACCTGAATATCTGCTACACTCCTCCTAGTAATTCCGTCTTCGTAACTGAAACCCTGATTCGCCCTGCCTCTCAGCTCTTCGGCGAGAGGGAACGGCACGGAAACCCCCGCCGGGTGCCCGAACGCGCTCATCATCTTTGTAGCGGCTGCTGTCGAGGGGCTGACGATCTATGCAAGATGCCTACAATGTTTTAGACTGTCTCTTTTGAAGAGCCTTCAAGGTGGAGACAGCGCCTGCAGCGGAGTCCAGAACAAAAATGACAACTCATTTGGATGAGAAGTCTAGCTAAAAGCACGGGAAGGCGACACAATGGTGTGAACACGGCTGGAGAGAAACACTGACCAGAGCTAAGCGAAGATAGGAAGATTGCGACATAGCACTGTGCACAAAAGAGAACACGCTGGAAGCCCAAGGGGCCGTACTGTCACCTGTAGTTCCACCTACGGCCGCAACAATCTTGCAACATTCTCTCCAATGACCGAGAACACCTGCAGTCACATACCGCACACAGAAGCGATCACCAGCTGCTTATAAGAAGAGACTCCAGAGTTTTGATACTTAGACTACATCTCCGAAATTTCGGGCCTACGCAAACACTGTAGATAGTTCGTCTGTGTTGGATATACAATACGACAAAACCTAGCATCCTGCTGCATCAGCAGGAAACGATTCTTTAAGGGCTTTGAATATTGCCGATGGTCACTTCATGAAACCCTTCCGGTAAGGACACCGCCTGCAGTACGGCGGTTCTCACGGGCTCAGCCGCGTAGGGACAGCCTTCTTCTAACCTTGAAGTAGGCATCACTCGCTGCTGGTGTCGCTGCTGCCTCGTTGGAGCCGCAGGTAGAGTAGTGCGACTCATGCTGCACCGCGTGGCGTACGGCAGCACAGCAGTTTTAACTCCGGAGGAAGACGTCCTGTGGGCATTATGGCCAAAAGCAGCAACACATAGCAGCAGCACCTCCTGATGCGGCCTGAGTTTGCTGCAGCGCATGCGTGTGGACGGCCTTCTTTGACACCTGGTGTCGAGCTCTCTACAATCAGGGGTCCTTCAGCAGTTGCCAGCGCCTGGTTATTCCAGCCGAACTTAACGGGGCTTACGGGATGTGGTTTGATGCCACAACGGAATTTGGCGTTGTGCACCATGCCGTGCTTCACTTACACCGACTTTAGCTGAGCTGCTGATGTCTCCGTGATCTGAAAGTGCCGGGTAATGCAGAGCACGGCCGATAGCAAGCAGTTCTCTGCATTCCGTTATGTCTTACCGCTGACGGCCTACGCTGCAGCGGCGGCGGAAATTGTTGCTGCTGCTTCAAAGAGCACTACAAGTGAATATCCAGCAGAAGAATTAGGAAACCAATGCTTCGCTAAGGAAAATAGGTCTAAGCAGCAACCCCACGGTGTCGCAGACGCCGATGCTGTTGCCACGAGGGTGGCGGCTAAAGATAGTATATGTATTGTGGAATAAAAAAACATAAGCAAACGAAGAAACAACCAACCGCAGAGGGTCTCTGATGATGCTGCTGCATGAAGCCCGACAGGACCCACTGCTCCTCCAAGAGTAACTCAGACCGCCTGCTGTGACGAAGTTGTCTGCTCACGTGCTTTGACAAAGAATTTATTCGAGTATCAATTTTCCTAAGGTAAAGTGGACAGTTTCAAGAAAAACAAACGCGACTAAACCGGCAGCAGCTTAGTGGACAAGAAAGGATTTGCAGTCATCGCCCAAAGACCCTGCAGTTCCCAAAGGCAATATTCCTTTGTGACTGCATATGCAGTAGCTACTACACGCATACGGAGAAGGGGAGCTACGCGTGGAAGTCGAGGCTTGAGAGGTTCATATAACTGCAATGCTTTAAACATATCCCCAGACGAACAGACAAGTCGGCGGCTGTCCCTCTGTTGCTTTTCTGCCTCCCTACAGGGAATTGAGCGGGCTTAGCCTTGCAACTGCAGCGGCAGAAACGACGGATTCGCGCGCAGCTGCTTCCTCAGCGAGCCGAGAGATGCTATCAATGCGCAAGAAGAGCCCACAACATGCGGAAGCACAGGCGCCTAGCCAGCCGTCCGCCACCATGTTTGCTACCGCTGTTGCTTCTCCTATCTATATATGCCGTTTATGATGTAAAAGCTCTCCACCGCTGCTGGAGAAATGAGCTATCTGCTCACGCAGGCGGCATTACGCCAGCCTCTAGCCACACCATCCGTGCGAAGTCTCCGTGTTATCCTGTCATTTTCAGTTCATCATACCTTCCCCTTGCTGCTGCTTTGGGACAACGGCAGTTAGTAACGTCGAGGGCAGGAACACACACTGCCGCCAAATGGTCGCGGCAGCAGCCACGCGCAGAGGTCAAAACTGTTTTGCCGAAGAAGCCTCCATCGTTCCCCGTGGATGCTCACGATGCTCTAGACGCTGCATTTTCTTCTCCTCCTGAATTCGAGCCGCAGAGACAAGGCAGCTCAGTTGATGAGACTGCATCTCCAGAGAGAGAAAGCCTGTCTTTGCGTTCATTGCTTTCGAGGCAGCTTCTGGTGTGGGGCCCTGAACAGCAGCAGGTGCTTCCCGGATCACGCGTCTTGTTAATTGGTGCTGGAGCAGTGGCGGTCGAGGCAGCCAAGTGCTTGTTGCAATCAGGGGTTGGCTGCCTTCTTTTGGTGGACCCCGAGGCGCCGGCTCCTGAAGAGAGAGCGGCAAATTTTGCCCTTTCTGGCCACAAGGAACAACAAGAAATAGCGGCGACAACTGCAGATGAAACTGCTGCAGCTACTTCTGCCAAAAATGCCAACAATTCAGCTCCTTGTGATTCTTCAGACCGCTTCGAAAGACATCAGACTGGACTATCTGCGTGTCTTCGGCAGCTTCCCAAGCAGCAGCAACGGCAGCCCATGAATCGCGCTAGAATCGCCTGTGCAGCTCTTCAGCATATCAAAGCTCCTTATGCTCGCGTTGCTGAGGTGTCTTTACACATTCGGCCTGGGGAGACGGTGGCTGCATGGCGCAGGCGTGTGGAGAACCTGCTTCAGCATGTCGACGTACTGCTGCTCTGTGATAGGCCTCTGCAACAGAATATATTCTTTTCGTCTGTAGCTCGCAAACTGCGGGCGCAGCAAAAAGTGAGAAGAGGGCAGCTAGAACAGAAACAAGCGCTGAGGGGTGGCCCACTTGTAGTGGCGGTCTCCACAGCTGGACTCAGCGGCCGAATCGCCCTTGACTTTGGCAATTTCACATTTTCTGCAGTGAGCGAAGAAGCTGCTCTTGCATCACTCCTACACAAGCATGCTCAGCCACAGAAACAGGAACGGCAGCAGGAACCTCAAACTGGGCGCCTAAGATTTTGCCCGTTGAGCAGCATTCTGTTTCTCCCAGAGTCAATACAGCAATTAGAGCCTCCGGAGCGTCGGGCGGTCCACCTGCCAGCTGATGAGGAGCAACAGTACCTGACTGCTGCATTTGAAGCCCTTGATGCAGCGGAGAGCGAGGGACAAGCTGTGAACACTGATCCAGCCCAACTTTTTGGACCAGCAGCTGAGGCAGGTACCACTGCAGCGGCAGCTGCAGCTGGGAGTCTCAGAAGCTGGAGCGCTAGCCGTATTCCTAGTGCTCGTCGTGTTGCAGAACGTGCAGCTTCTATCTGGAGGCGGCGGTATGGGCCGACTGTGGCAGCTACAGCGGCCGCAGGCGCAGCAGCGGCGGCACGGGCTTCTAACCAGACCGCAGTCGCAGTCAAGGCTGCTGCAGAAGCAGCAGCTTCTGCTGCACTAATGAAGGGAGCGGCAGTGGCTGGGCGTGTAGGAGGCCTCATGGCAAAAGGCTCAAGGGGTCACATTGCTCCAATCGCAGCCGCAATGGGTAGGTTGCTCATGTATTTCTATGTACGGTGTTGCATGTCCTGCGTTGTGTTCTTCTCGCATCGGATTTTACATTTGTGCTCTATTGAGGAGTCGTACTTGGTTCTGTCTGTCGCAGGCGCCCTGGCAGCTCAGGAAGCGCTGAAGGGTCTTACTCGGAAGTATCGCCCGCTGCAGGGACCTTTCGTGCTAGATGCTCTGGAATTGCTGGAACTAATCAGGCACGCAGGCTTTAACCGTGGCGCTGTTCGTGGAAGCAGGGTTATTGGCACCAGCATCAATGAGGACAGCAGCAACAGCAACAGAAGCAGTAACAAGAGAGATCTAACAACAAGTTGCCTTTCATCGAGTGCGCCAGCAGTGTGTGCTGCAGCCAACCCAGATTCCGCGGGGCCCGAGGGATGTGATTCCGTAGAGGTGCATGCAAAGTTTCTGCCTTGGGAGGGACAGCAGCAACTCCTGGGAGCGGAGCTGCAGAGCCGTCTAAACCATCTGCGAGTCCTATTAGTGGGAGCTGGAGCTATTGGATGTGAAGTGCTCAAAAATTTTGCCCTCATGGGCGTGTCTACACACTGCAAAGATACCCATAGGAGCAACGACAGGTTCCAAAACTGCAAACAAAACTCCGGCGGGAGCTTTATCAGAGACACGCCAACGAAAAAGAGGCGTTCTATTATCTCACGGCTCCTTATGGCGTGCAGGTACGGATTAAATTCTGTAGAGCTGGAGGAAGCTGCTATCACAGCAGCTCAAACAGCGGCATCAACCACAGCAAGACATGCAGCGTCGATATCCGGCGTAGAGACTTGCCAAGGAGGATTGTTGTCTTTGATGGACGGGGACACTGTGGAGATGTCGAACCTCAGCAGACAAGTTCTCTTCACTGTGGCATCTTTGCAGCGGCCCAAATCTGTTGCCGCTGCTGCTGCAGCCCTCCGTCTCTGTAGCCGCGTGCGCTTGCAGCCATTCCCATTCATGGTAGGCTTCAATTGCATATTACTTCTTCCATGTGTGGGAGTGAGTTAATAAGTTTATCCTTATCGTTTCACGTGTTGCCTCTGCTGTTTGTGCTATTGACGCTGTCATTGATAATGTTATGGCATCGTTGAGACGTTTTCTGTCTCTATCGGAAAGTAGCAGCTGCTTTCTCATCGGACGCTTTATGCTCCACGGCGTAGGCTTACTTTATGCTGCTGCTTTTGAATGTATACCAAGAGCGATGGGCATGTGGAGAATTTCGCGTCTGCGGATTCCTGCTTTGCATTATGCGGCTGCTACAGCTGTCTCGGCACACGCTCTGGCGCCTTCCACCGATGTATATTCAAGAGCAGGACTTGATGGTGGCTGCTTTGGACTCAGTAAATGCTCGTTTATACGTTGATGAGCTCTGTTTACTTCATTCCAAGCCGTGGGTGGAGGCTGGCACCCTCGGTCTTAGAGGTGTGCTGTAGATTGCGTGAAAACGTGTTTCCACTAGATTTCTACCCGGTCCCATCAATTGTCTGCCGCGGTTACTGTCTCTGTTCCCGTTTGCATCTGTTGTTCTTACTAGATGCTGGCCACAGCTTGCCTCTGCTTTGTATGTAGCTGCATGCGTCGGCTCGTTTATTTCACTGCGTTGCGACCATTAATGCATTATTTTTGTTGTTCTAGTTCCTGCTCCAGTGCTTTTGCGGGTTTCTGGAGAGTGGCACTGCTTGTAGCTGAGCGTTTGTGTGTCCCTTTAGGTCACGCACAGAGCATGGTGCCGCATCTGACAGAACATTACGGTGCAGCAACAGGAGGCGTCAGTAGTAGCTCTTCAGCAGCAAACTCTTCGTCGGCTGTCCCCGTCTGTTCTGTTCGAGGGGCCCCGACTGCTCCATTCCACGCCGTGCACTGGGCATCAGATCAGCTCCAGCAGAGATTCAGAAACGATATCGCTGCTGCCCATGTGCTTCTCCAGCAGCTTTTTGAACAGACAATGCACGTACCTGCAGGCGCTAGCGCTGCTGGGCAAGGGCTTTCGAGAGCTGATGCGGAGGCGCCTTCTCCAGCTTGTGGCGCTGCTTTGAACTCAAATAATACTGACATTCAGGAAGCCCTTCGCATTTTGGGCATGGCTCCTGCTGCTGTGGCTGCTGCCGCAGCTGGAAAGTTGCAGCTCCGATTTTTGCTGCTGCTTGCCCGTGAGATCTTACAGGCTCAGCAAATCAAGACGACGGAGACAGAACCGCAGCCGCTGGAGCAGCCGCAGCTGCCATTCCAGCATCAAGGAGAGCAGGCGATGGCTCGAAAGGAAGTCTCTCTTTTGTCACCCACGCACCTAAGACTTCTTTCGCTTGCATTGTCCGTATTTGGCGTTCTCTTTCGCAGGGTCGCTCGCGAAAAGACGGAAGGCAAACTTTCACATGCGTCTGATGAAGCTTTGGGTGAAGCGGTCGAAAGAAATTGTTCTAAGCAGATGCCTATGCCTTTGGACTTTACAGATGCAGATACACTTGACGTTGTTGGTGCTTCTGGGCAGCTGCTTGCAGCCACCCTTGGCTATGAACCTGTTGCCGGGATGACGCCGTCTTTGGCATGCGCAGATGCAAGCGCAGCAGCCGCCTTGCAACAGGAACAAGAACACGAGTTATTGCTGCAAGGAAGAGGGACTGGGCCTTGGAGCCGCCAGTGCGTGGCAAGTGCCCTGTGGCACCTTGTGCAGTTGTCACAGGCCCAAGCTCGAAGAACATCGTTAGACAGCTGTGAATTGCTGGCGCAAACAGAAAACAGTGCCAGTCTTGCTTCTCTCGCTGAGGCGTTGATGAGGGATGTGCAAGCGGCAGAACGAGGAGGCAACTATGCGTTGGTCGCTCCTGCAGAACTTTCGCTTTCGGCTGACAATGCGGTTCCCCTCCGTTTTTTGACGTCTGCAGCGCGGCTGCGCTGCAGAGCCTTTGGACTGAAGCCGCTGCCGGGCCCTGAAGAAACGCAGCAGCTGATAGGCCGCATAGTCCCTGCAACTGCCACAGCAACAACCCTTGCTGCAGCACTTGCCTGCCTTGAGGTATACAGATTGGTCGCTCTAGGTCTTGCAGGTTCACGCACAAGCCAGCGCTTGCAGCAGCAGCGAGAACAGCAGCAGCAGAAACACGTACGGGACAAGCGGAATGGGCTTCCTGTCATCTGGCTGGACACGGGGACCTGCTTGAACAGGCGTACAGCCTTGCAGTCACGACTGCAGCATCTGCGCAATAGCTTTTTCTCACTTTCAGTACCTTTCCTGGCGGAAGCACCTCCTCTCGAACCACCAACACAGCGCTTTCCCAGCGGCCGGCGGTGCGGTCAGCCGTTTTCTGCGTGGGACTTTTTCCGCCTGCGTGTCCGCGGCCACACATTGAACAGCACCACTGAGTCGCTTATAGGCAAAGGAGTCGTCGCTGGAGAAGCAGAAGCACCAGAGGCGATTACAGTTGCAGAGCTTGTGGACCTCATAGAGAAGGATACAGGCGTTCGTGTTGTGTCTCTAACATGCAAGGAAGCCCTCCTTTACGCTGCCCCACAAAATGGCAAATCTCTGCAGCAGCAGCAGCAGAGCATGCTACCGCCAAAGATAGCGCAGCTGTTTGGAGTACGGCAGCGGAAGGCTCTCATCAACCCAAGGATGAAGCTCGCCGAGGCACTGCGACAGTCACTACGAGGAGCGACTCTGTTGGCTAATCACGGCCAAAGAAAAGAAGCCTGGGTACGGCGACAGATGAATCAGCCTAGACAGCAGGACGGTCTTTCGTGGGTTGTAGTCCGCATTGCGGCTTCCGATTCTGCGGGGGCAGAAGTTACTCTTCCGCCCCTTAAGGTCCTGGTTAGGTCTGTACAATTTGAAGACTAAAGTTTTGGCCATATGGTACCATACTTCGGTAGAAAAATGTTCCAGGCAGTGTTAGAACAGAGAGAGGCTAGGTCATGGGAGAGACAGCGGGGGGTCGAAGCTCTTGGCCTCATGCTCATTTGATGTCGAGCTCTAGAGCTATAATAGAGCAGAAGTACGCTGATTCCTCAGGAAATTGTGCGCAAACCGCTGTACCCATCATGCAAGTACCTGCTCCGCTAGCTAGCCTGCCATGCTACGAGTCATTCTTGACTTAACACGCACTTGTAAACTTGAATGACTCCAGCACTGGAAAGGATAAACAGTCTGTCCTCCAAACGCAGGCTAAACTGACCGCAGAATTACAAAGGCATGCGTGGGCCTTTGAACCATCACAGGACCCCGTTTCTATAATTGAGGGTTGAGCCCTGTTCATGCAAACGCTTTAAACTGACCAGAAGGATGTATACTTGATTTGACGCACCAGCCGTTCCACTTGAAGGCTTATGGACGCCCACTGAAGTTTTTCAGTGAGCAGACACGAGCGGCGGCAGCTTTTCCTCAGCAGCAGCTTCAATTTTTGCGGCCAAACCTGAAATATCTCCCTGCAGTGCAGGGGAAAGAGGCTGTTCTGCCTGAGGTTTCTCTAGCAAACCCTCAAGAGACGCTTTGAAGCTCTCCATCGCTTCATCGTACGCCTTAGCTACCTCCGCAGCTGCAGTAGCTGTCCCTTCCTGCTTCGTCTGCTGTGCAGCTGTGACCTGACTCTTCAGGTCCTTCACTTGCTCTTCCAGTTCCTCCCGAATCTCTTCTGCTGTGTCCAGCTGGTCGTCTAGAAGGTCTTGGAGATGCTCTACTGCCCTCTCGTATTCGTTTAGCAAAACAGTAACGGCATCGGCTAGAAGCTCAACTCGCTGCAACGCGGCGTTAATCGCGTCTTCTGGGTCCTCCTCACCCACATTTTCATCAAGTAGGGCGTTCACCAAATCATCTACAGCTGTACTGCTCTCCGCGGTTTGCTGCTGGTGCTGAGTGTCATCGCTTTTCTCCACTGTTGTTTGCTGAGCATGATCTGGGACAGGCTCAGTCCCGGCACTAGGCGTTTTGAGTTCCGAAGAAGGCTGTTCCTGTTCCGGAGCAGTCTTCTCAGGATCGGGTCTTGGCTGCTCGGGCTTCAAAGTAGATTGCTCAGTATTGGAAGCGGCTTGAGCGGGATCAGGAACAGGCTGGAGCTGCTCTTCTTGCTGAGATGACGATGGCAGTTGGACCTGTTGTGGAGGAGTTGCAAGATGCTGTGGTGTGCTCGTTGGCGGCACCTGAGCTTCCGTCACTTGCGGAGCGAACTCTGTTGCTGGGGGCCCAGCATCGGCAACTGGATTAATTTTGGTCTTGGGCTCCTCGGGAGAGGGTACTTGATGCTGGTTACTCCCTTCAGAAGGCGTTATCTGTTGCGTGGGCTCCCCCAGGGCCATCTCTGCTGCTTCCGTTTGTTGCAGCCTTCTCGCGGGGGTGTTTAAGGTGCCCCAGACAAGCCTATCTAGGATGTTATCAACTTGGTTCAACTGGTCTGGAAGGATGGCAAAGCCTTGCGCGCCAATCCGCTTTTTGGCTTCCCTCTTCATAATTCCAACGCCAGAGTCCACTTCTTGAGCAAGTGACGTGAATTTGTTGAGGAATGTGTCAAACGGCATAGCAGCGGACAGCCCACTTACTGCAGCAGGTGAAAGCCCCAAGTCCTTCCAATCTGTTAGCCCATTGGGGCCAACCACCTCACCTCCTAAAAGGCCACCAAGCAGCTGTTTAGCCGCATCAATCGACAAAAAGGGCAGCAGACCTTCTCTAGACAAAAATGCTCCTATTGCGCCGTCTGTCGCTGTCTCAACGCCTTGCTGGAAGGAGCGAAGAGGGCCAGATATGGCAGTTACCTGCTGAGACGCCGGAAATATAGATTGGAGTGCCTGTTGAAGGCCACTGAGGTCAGTAATAGCGAATGGCCCTTGAGCACTGCCACTGTGGTGACCCAGAGCCCCAATGTTGGGGAGATTGAGGTGGTGAAGGCCCAGTCCGCCGAGGCCGGCACTTAGGGAATGTGAAAGGCTTGACGGGTCCATCGAACGAAATAGGGAGCTTGCAGTACCAAGAAGGCCAGGGCCCTGCAGTAAAGCTGCAAGGCGTCTTATTCGTGGGGAATCTTGAAGGCGACGCACAGTGATAACGTCTCTAGGGCGCTTGAAGAGATTATCGGAAGCAATAGAAGCTATTTTTGAGCGAACTGCCGGATTGTCCACGTTGGCCTCCAGCCCACGAAGAAGCGTCTTCGCGTGCTGAGCCACTTCTCTCTCATAAGCTGCAATGATCCTTTCGACGCCAAAATGGCTGCGTCTTGCTGCTTCCAGGACACGGGACTCTTGGTGAGAAAGATGCACCGAGGAGGGGATATGGCCGGTAGAAATATTCTCAAGGCCGACCTTCGCCACGAGCTGTTTCATTGAAAATTCGTCCATGCCGAGATTTTTCGCCCCAGTTGTAAACATCAAATCTCTGTATAAGCGCTCCCTGCTTGTGCCGACTCTCCTGGAGAAGGTTTCCAGCAGGTCCTTATCGCGAGCGCTTAGCCCACTGCCAAACAAATTCGGCAGTGGGCTGAGATGCGGGAGCTGCGTTAGCTGCGAGAGGCCGGCCAGAAGCTGCAAACGACGGTGTGGGACTCCGGCAGTAAACTTGTGCTCCGGAGATTTCTGTGGGCCAACGGTTGCCACGGTACCTTGCAATAGGCGTCTCGCGGCAACTGCGGTGGGGCGCTGACCTTCCGCGTGGCCAGCTGAATCGGGAAAAACAGAAGATTCCAGTCCTTGAGATGGAGGTGGACCGCCGGTAGCTTCATATTGAAGTGCTTCTGCGGTGTTCGTGGATGATTTGATGGAGGCGGAGGCAATATCCTGGTGTTGGTTGTCCAAAGCGGCAACCTGAAATCCTGGTTTCTTACCTTCAAGAAAGGCTGGTGTCGGAGCATAGCCGTGTGGTCTGCCGGTTGCCACTGTTGCATAACTATTTTGCTGATTATCCTGTGCTGGGGTTGTTGAGGCAGAGTTGCTTACTGCGGCGACCGAGGAGCGGCAAACGAGACCTTGGGCGAGAATGGCCGTGGCCGTACAGGCCAGAAATGCCCTGCGACGGCTTATACCAAGCATATTTGTTACCTAGTTAGTTCAAACTGCTCTATGGACTACCCGAAGGTGACAATTCAGGGCTGCCCTTGTGGCGTAAACTCCTTTAAACCTGATGGTCCAGCGATTGCAGTGCTGTTAGCGCCGCAACAAGTATGTTTTCAACCTTCTGGTAGCAGCTGAGCAAGTTGTTTACTCCTTTTCATCTCTGCTGCCACCTGACGGGCACGGACAAGGGGCGGTCAACCTGCCCAGGGCGCTTCGTGTTGCGGGGGTTCGCAGCAAGTGATCGACCACTGCCTTGCAGATAGGCGCAAGCAAATAGACGCAGATAGGCTTCATCTCCAACAAATAGACTTTTTGTATACCACAATTTTTTAGTGTGAAAAAATGAAGATTTCATATATTTCATGAAGCGTTGCTCTACCATTTGTATGCCAGCCTTGTATGGGTTTCTAAGACGGTGGCTTCGTCCCACCTCCACAGTAAGGGTGCTCATCTCAGCCCTCTATTTGTCACAGCTTCCCTTTTCATACCTAGTATAATGCATTTTGAAGAGCATTTGAAGGCTTATTTCATGAGAGGCGACCCAATTCGCCTCCGAAGCCAATGTGAAGGTCACTGTTCTGGAGTCAGCGGTGCGCCTTCGCTGCTGTGATGACTCACGGATACCACTCACAGATATAAGCAAAAGAATAAACACTGCATTTCTGCCATAATGCAAGCGTTTTTGTTCCTACGTTCTGGCAACGCCGGCAGCACAAACTCAGAAGCGGGCATTTCTCCCACAGTCACCGGCACACCGGCACAGTATTAACGAAAAATAATACATCAGCTCCCGGCATTGCCAAAAAAACAGTTGTTTATCACCACTTCATCAGCTAACAAGCCCGGCTTCTTGTCAATTCCGCTGTGCAACTGGTGTGTCGTTGGTGGAAGCAAGACGAAAAATTATCCCAGGAAATGCCATATAACAGCAATAGAAGTCATAAAAAGATAAGCATTCCTAGCAAAACACATTTCAGTGTGCGGATTTCCTATTTAGATGGTCTGTACTGACAGCTCTTGTCGAAAGTGACGACCTGTTTACGAATGCTGCATTCCAGTGAAGATCAAGACCTTGTTGGTACTCATCGGTGTACGTGTGTTACAATGACTTTTTCGAACGTAGTTCAGTTAGTGCATCTGTGGGTGGTTGTGTTTATATTATATGGGGAGGCATCACAACTCCGAAATCAGGGAAATCGCAACGGCCGTTCGGCAGCAGACAGTCTTCACCTGCAAATTGCAAGCGAACCACCTATCCAAAGCACTGTAGAAGCTTTGGATTGCGTCTCCGCGGAAACCGACAGAGCCCTACGAAGAAATAATGGAATAAATTCCAGAAGAGGGGACCTGGTGGATGCAAACGCATTGATTTTGGGGGAAGCAAGTAAGTCTCAAAGAGCGGCTTTTTGCATCCCAAAGAATCATAAAGGCTGTTTCAGGAGCGCTTCAAGAAGAATCACAGCTTCACAGAAAACGTGCTCAAGACATTGAAGACATTAAGGCAAAGCAAAGCAATCGGCACGATGCGACCATGAAAGAAATACAAGTCCGGCCGAATAATTTTATCATAAATATTGCATATAGCCTCCCCATTTGTGCTAGGAACATGACCAAAAAGAAACTAAAGAAAAGGATCGTGAGCTGGAGCTTTTGAAAGAAGCCGAATCTTCAGCAAAAGTAGGGCGGAGAATCCTCTTGGTGTGCGCTGCTAACGAACACTGCTGAACGCATGTAGAGGGACCTCGAGGAAGAGAATCACCTCCTAAGGGAGGCCGAGAAACGTGTCCCAGTATGATTCGCAAAGCTCGACGTCACATGCGTGTGTTTAATGCAGTGTCCTAGGCGAGCAAATCAGTGCGGCTTCAGCAAGAAGGCAGTAAAAACAAGTCGCGTGAAGAGGTGGCGGCGCTGATGCAATATCCTCTCTTGGGCTTTTCGCTACCCTCCGCAGTCAACCCGATTGAATATTTGAGCAAAATCACCAGAGGCACAGTCAAGGCAAATGCACATTCCAAAAATGCAGCGCCTTATGCGCTTCCCACGGGGGAGGCCTCAGAGTCAGCTGGTCATCAAGATCTAGAAGGCAGCTACAAAAGTTCCGCCAGCAACGCATCATTTGAAGAGAAAGATAAAAAAAAACACAATAAGACTAAGAAGGCAGCAAAACAGAAGGCACACGGGAATGAGCAGGGCAAAGGCGAATGCAAAAAACGGGACAACTCAGCGGAAGAAGTGTTAGATGAAGAAGCGGATGCGGAAGCTAATGAGAATAGTGCAGCAAAGGCACTACATGATATTGAAAATGCAGTACGCTCTCCATTCAAGGGTGGAGATGATTCAACATATTTCGGTGAATCTTTTGAGGAAGCGGGGGAAGCCGAGCAAAGTTCTAGGGCACAAGTGGAAGACTCGGATGACGATGAGACAAATGAATCAACGTTCTCCTCAAGTATCCAGGGGGAAGATGAAGACGATGATGACGTAAAAGACGACAAAACAACTGGATTTACCAAGTCTGGCAAAAATATTAAATCCCGCGCTCGTCACGAAGAAACTACAAATGAGCCGGAGGAAGATGGTGACGACAGCAACAATAAGGAAGCACTTAGCGTTACCAAATCTAACAAGAAAAAAGGACGCGGAAAGCATTCCAAAGGTGGAAAAAATCATTCGGAGACAGAAGGAGATGAACCTGAGGAGGAAAGTGGGCGCGAAGGAAAAACCAAATCCAAGAACAGTTCACAAAACACAGGCAAGGGCAACTTGCATGCAAGCACTCTCTGCAAATATAGTCAAATCAAAGCACAAACCAGGACATAGGAGTCCAGTTGAAGCTACAGAAGAAGAGGCAAAGCAAGCAAAAACCCTGCAGCAGTCTCCCGAGGAGCTTCAGCAGCAATCCTCTAATAATGCTAACCAGCGCCAAACAATACAAGGCAAGTGTCAGCAGGAGACAAATCAATGTGGAGATATTCATGCTGCGATTGGGTTAGCTCGGGCGCGTTTCGCCGCTTCACGAGCTGCGGAAGCAACCTCCGCCTTAGACGGGGATGATGACGAAGACGACGCTGAAATCTCTGCCCCTTCTAACGAACTAGAGGAACAAGAGGCCCTTCCAGAACGTGCTGGGGCTCACGTTGTTCAAGAAACGCAAAAGTGGCAGGAGACTCTTCCCGAGAGGGAAAAGGGGAGCGCGAAACAAGCACTCGCCGAAGAGCAGGAAGAGCGCAAACTGCTTGCCGCCGAGCAAGACGCCGAAGAAACAAAAAGTGAACTGAAGGCCTGTGCTCAAGGATCCTTCCTTAGCTGCCGAAAACATCGGCAAGAACGACACCGTCACTAGCAAACTCACCGTACAACCCTTCGTTAATTTAGAAAACTTGTCGGGTTGCACAGTCTAGCAACTTCTTCCCTAACCTCTGTCGCACTGCCGCAAACCACATCAAGCCTACAGAGCCAAACACTTATGTTTACTGAATGCGCCTAACTGTTGCAGCCCTAGCTGTCCATCCACCTAATCTCTCCCCAAGCAGGTTATCGGCATCACGATTGCTGCCATGCTCCTCTGGCGCTTCAAATCAGAAGCGCCTCCCATGTCCTACAACAGGACACCAAAGCAACGCCTGGCAAAACCATCAAGCTGCAGGTGGCAGAGACTCACGTCTAACGAGTTTGGTTTCTTGTCTCCAGGATGGGAGCTAGTAATGGTGAAACATAAAGAATGGCCAGTTCACCGTCTGAAAAACGGCGATAGCGTTCCTTTTGTAAAAGCGGCACATGCAACAACTGGAAGGCAAGCCAGAAGTGCATGCTACATACCCCGTTGATTGGAACACCTAATGCTGCACTTTAAGGAGACTGAGCATTGGGGCCTCTTCTGCGGCCCACAGTTGTGGTGAATCTACGGTTATACAGCTGGCGCTTCTTTGCACGGCCAGTCACTGGCTTCTTCTTCTCCTGCTTCTGCACCTTAGGTGTCTGGTTCTTGACCTTACCGGCACGAGCAAGGGAGCCGTGAACTTTCCCTGAGTCAAACACCGGATAAAACAAGCAGACAGCTGTGTGAAGATAAACATGTGGGCTGCGGCACAGAACGTGCGCTGCTGTTGGCTCGAAGGCTCATGTTCGCTGTGGACCAGTGTGGGGTACTCCACAGAAGGTCCCTAATCCGTCTGAACCTGATCAACCGTCCTTCACTCAAACAGCACCTTTAAGAGCTGTAATATATGAAACCTGCCGGCCCATAATTTCGTTTAAAATAGTGGGATGCCACTCAATAATGCATGCACTAGTCGCCCACTGTTATGAAGAAAGCAGGCAGTACCCACCCATTTTCAGCTGTATTGATTACAAGAAAATTTGGGTCGTTGTGCGGTTACCAAGTGAAAAGCTGAATGCAGAAGAGAAACAAGAACTCCGCAAAATCTTTTTGGTACTGCAGCCGTACCCAAATAAGCCCTTGGCGACGATGGGGTGAGGAACAGCCCCATGGGACTTCTCGAAGCTTCGTTTACAGTTGTCCAGGAAGAAAAAACTGAGATCTTTTTCTCCCAGACTTTTGAATTCGGGGAGTATATGTACGAAGAACTGTAAGCACATAAATATCAGTGATGATTGTAAACAGAAGGCCACATGGCAGAACTGCTCAATATGCGCTGGGTGCTCCGTCTGTGGGGGTATTGGGTGGTGTCGATTTTGGTAGAGGAGGCTCATTGCTCTAGACAGAAAGTAGGATTTAGGGATTTTTCAGGGAATTTCAAAATGCGTAGATGCACAAAGCACGTGAAGTACGGCCTGCGTGGGGTCAGAGCCCGGAGAGGCCCTTTGTCTGTTGTTCCAATACCTGGAAGGAATTTGTGCACAGAAAAGTTGCTATGCCTGACAACGCATCTGTAGGGATTAGATAGTTTATGCGCAAGAGTTGGAGACCAGGATAAATACCAGTCAGACTCAAAGTATTAGTTTCATGTTTGTAAATGAAGAGTGCGGGGTTGGTCCACCTTCCCACTGATGTTTACGTTGCAGGGATAGAAGCGGCATTCTCTTCCTTTATTCGGACCATTCCTGAAGCTTAACATGTACGTTCTAGCGTAATCTTCTAAAGCAGCTAGGTTCTGGCAGTTCATGTTCCGTGCGCATGCGCAAGTGCTCACGTTTTTGTACGGCTTCTTCAAAAGGGTTAGGTCATCCACAAGAACTGGCAAGAGTCTTATGAGGCCTAAAGCTTCAGTCTAATACGTGAGGGACCTTTTCTGCCGCTTGATCTTCGATTGCTGGCCGACAGGAACAGCATCTGCCTGGATCGCCGAGCACCTGAGTGGATTGCTGACTTCTTCCAGCGATATTGTTTTTCACCAAGAAATGCAGCGCCCTCACGCAGTCAGGGACTCATTCAAAGCTCCTGAATCTCAATATGAGCACAAAAAGTGCCCAAAAGCTGTGAGGAAGTTTGTCTCTTGTCTGTAGTAGTTTGTATTGATGTAAGATTGGCGCTCTGCGCAGCGGCGGCTTAGCGTTTCCGCTAGCTTGCACTATATGAAGGTACTAGTTCTCTTGCTTCTTCCAACTACTGCATCATATGCAACAAAGGATTGGGCTAGACTGCTTGTAGTAGTCTGAGGCACCATAGTCGGTGCATTTTTCATACTATGACAGGGCAGTGTCTCCCTGTAGAAGTATAGCGCTGCCTCTAGGGCTCAAAACCTTGGAGACCTGCTCTCAGTGAGGCTAGCGAGCGACTCGAACTGCTTAAATGGTGCAACACAGTATTCAGTTGCCTACAGACCAAAAGTCTTTTTCAGGGAGGTAAAGTGTAATGCCTAAAGCACTCACGGGTGTGAGAGCCGCGGCCCTCTCACCAGGTGCAGAAGAGGGCATACATAGCCAACAGAGGCGGCGTAAGAAGTCCTCATCAGCTCAGGAGCCCTACATTTGTTCGCTTTGTAAACTATCATTGGCTTGACACCGCCCACGATAAAGCAGTGCGTGAGACTAGGCCTCATACAAGCAAATAAGTGCTCCATGCGCAACTGCGGAATTGTTCCCAACCGGGACGGATTTGCGAAGGCCACAAAGAATTCTTTACATCAGCCTGAGAGCCAGAAGGCACTGAAAAATATAAAAGTGTGCTTACGCTGTTTTTCAGCATTTGCGTGGCTCATGCTGATGGTTTGGTCAGCGCGGGTCAGTAGATCTCTAGTACCCTCATCAGACGCTACAACCCTTCCTAATGCCCAGGTTTAGCAGGGGCCGTGACGATAGGTGCAAGTGTGAATCTTCGAGTTTGTGCTGACTTCTCAGGGATGGGAATGTAGCTGGAGTGTAAACGGCACTGACGTGCCATCAGCCTCACGAAAACATACATCTGTAACGTAAAGCCCTGGCTTGCCTATGAGATAAACTGCCAATTTTAAGTTGGAGATAACGCTCCCTTAACTCGAAAGCTCGTAGGTACCTTTCTTGGGTTTCCTATGGAGCCTGTGGGTTCCAGAGCGCTACCTTTCTTGAGTTTCCCATGAAGCCTGTGGGTTCAAGAGCACTGTGGTCGGGGGAATGGCGGCAACCCGCGGGTAAACGAACAAACCCCACACTCCACCAAGCGTGCTCGAAGCAGAACTGCTTTGTTTTGAGTAAGAAAAGTTGAAGCACGCCTGACCAAGAGAAACGTAATCTTTATTGACTGGGGGTACTGGGACTATAAATCCAGGGACGCTCAACTGCATTCTTCCATGAAATGTGATTACACATGCATTGCTGGGCGCTCAGTCTTTCAGTACACCTTTAAGGATCTGCCTACCAGCTTTACTACCAATAGGGCACCATAGGGTAAGAGTTTTCGTGTTCTTAAATAGCTGTTTTCCTGTAGGTTACTGAAAGCCGCGCAAGGGTCTGATGGTCCATGACCCATGGATTCGTGACCGGAGACAGCTCCTGCAGGGAAGTAGTCCAACAGTTGATCTCCCGAAAGGCAAGCCCGGAGACGGGTTCGTGCCAGTCAAATTGTCTTAACAGGTATTTTCTTAAACAAAAAACTGTTATTTGAACGATAAGTCAAGGCTTATCTGGAGCCAAGTAGGCCATGCAACAACTCCTTCCGGTCGCCACAGCTTGAAAGGCTACTGATCCCACACCCTAAATGTGCAGGCTTCTCAATTCCAACCTGTACAGCTGCGAAACCATTTAAGTTTAAGTACTTACTTGCGCCGCGCTTGTTCCCCACCTTATTGTTCGGGGCTTGGGTGGCTGAAATGGCAATGCTTGCTACAAGCTAGCTAGCTGTGGGCGCGGGATTCTGCGAACAAGAAGAAGACAGTAATTCTCCTGCAGGCAGGCTAGTCCACAAGACTCCCAAACACCTGCAGTAAATGACTGTGGCAGGCGTTGTTTAAGTATGGTGGAGGGAAAGAATAACAAGCACCCAGTGGTTATCAAACTGGCGGCAGCATTGGGCCAGCCGGCAAAACTGGGCTGGGACCACTGTCGCGAACTCTTTGGTTTCTCCAGATCTCTCTGTTCCCGACACGTTGCTTGTTGGTGTGACACTGTCCGCTCTCGTTTTCAGGCTGAGGAAGTCCCCTGCGAGTCACGGCTAGAAAGTCTTCATAGCTTGGACTGCGGGCCCTACCAATGAGCTGCGTTTAAGGTGCAGCTTCGCATGAGCAGCAGATATTTCGTCCTGTTACTTAACTAATGATGCACTAAATGAGGTGCAATGCACCATTGTAGGATGTTCTACCCCATGCTCTTGTGGTTGTGAAATTGGTTTGCCAGGGAGAGCGCTGCAAGGCCTACTGTGAGCCACTGCATTCATTCTTAACAAAAAAGAAGAACCCTGTAGCCATTAATGGCTTGCAAGCGACGCAAGAGGGTGTGCATGAAATATTAAGAACACAGACCGGTGCCAAGTCAGAATCTTGGTGATGCGGCTTCTGTACAACATTGAAGGCACACGCTGCCTGTCGCAGAATTGTTGTTTTACGAGGATATCTAGACAGAATTCCATGTTTTAACTGCCCGAATTGTGCTGTGTAGCTCTTATCCAACCTATAGCACGGAATGTCATGCTCTTCTAGGAAAGGGCAGATGAGTTGAAATTGGCAATGTAAAGGCTTCAGCAACGCTACGCTTGTGATTCGATAGTATCTGAAGGATCTTGTCGACAATAACCTTGAAGGAGCCAAGTAGCTGAGACTGGACGAGACTGGATTCGCTTGTTCTGCCCTGAAAGCAGAACATACAAAGCTCAGCCAAGGTTGGCGAACGTCATCCCAGCAAGGAGGCTTCTAGAGCGGGACACGCTTGGAAGAAGTGTGTCCCACCAGGAAGTATGTGTCCCAAAGGTGCTGCATTGGGTAGCTTCCCATGCGCATACACTAGTAACGATAGTGAAAAGGCTGCCCAGAGTGGGGGAGCTTATTCAAGCGTACTCAGTGTGTAGCTCTGACGAGGTCATTGGGTGTAGTGTCGACACCAGAAGGTTACTACAGTGCTTCATAAATTTAGGAGGGCTGAAAATCAAAATTAAGGGGGATTACGGAGCCCTTGCATCTCCTCATAGTACCGCTCCTCGTAGGCTGCGACTCTTACCGCGGCTTTTGGCGAATGGGAGGCCGCTGTCCTCGGCAAGAATAACCTGTGCTTTTTGGAACTCCTTTTACCTCTCCCCAGGTTCCACCTATGTTAGGTCCGGTAGCAGGTACGTTGCAGTCTTAGTGCCCATTGTTACACTACCGCAACAGTGTCTGCGACGCTACTGCGAGGCTTGTCGAAGATACACGACCATAGTAGAGCTTCTTCTAGATCCTTGTGAGCAACTCACAATATTTTCGTCTCCCTGCCAGTAACTCCGTGTGAGCAACAGAGAAGTGGACACAGGAAACATGCGAATTTGATGCATTATTGTGGGAACGTGTGCGAATTTAATGCCTTATCGGTGTGTTGGAGAGTGAGGGGTGTACGAGCGCGATCCATGGAGCCGCCGGGGTGTGTGGAACGCTGTTGAGTACCGAGTAGCTGAACCCTATAAGCGCCAACTAACCATTAAATTATGTTTACTATAGTGGAAAACCTTTTTATCACTCAAAATTTCAGCTATTGTGGAGACCCGCTGCCAATAAACAGACTTTGTATGCTTCTGTGAGGCTCTAAGATTACATCAGGAGTTGTGGCATTGTTACACTCCCTCCAGTGGCGCCGTGTACGTTGGAGAGAAACGAACGATGTACAAAATTCAGATTCAATGACCTTGGCACCCATTCAAAACGAAAGCGTCCCCCAAAATATTTTTGTCAATGGAATGAGTGAATAGTTCACATGTTCTGGAGAGGAGTATGCTGGCAACCCGTGCAGCTTCTGTCGGGGTATGTGTAACATTGCCACGCAACAACTGAGATGGCCCTACAAACGCAATATTAGTGAAATCAAATCTTACACGATATAGTGTTCCATTTCCCGGACAAAACTTCATCTACTGTACAGTGAAGATCTGTTGCAGAACAGAGCGCTCTGTAGGCTTCTGCTGGAGCAACAAATCAAGCTCTCTCGACGAAACATGCACTGCAATCCTGCGTTAAAAAACCGTATTCAACCAAAACAATCTGCCGGAAGAATTTTATCTTAACGGAGTTCTGAACCAGTGGACGCTCTAGAGCACGAACAGGGTTACGTCACCAGGTTTCACAATGGTCGCGTGAAGAGGCACCCCTCAACGGGCGAAGGAAGTCAAACACAACTTGCGCATCCACAGGACACTCCATTTGAGGCTTTTATTACCTAACAACTATTACAAATATTGATTAAAGGTAGGCTCATGCAGTGGAATTCCAGTGAGCTGGCTTCTTTGTCTGTCTCTTTGTTGTCGTCACGCTACCAGTGGCTGGCGGAGTCGCCCACCGGATATGGCCGCAGTGCTGCAGCATTGGATTTGCACTGTGCATCCTGAAAATGGCGACTACATGGCCTTGTAAATACTCTGTGGACAGAGACCTGGGGTCCATTGGCCGTGGTGGCACTGCCTATACAGAGACAATCGATTCGCAAAAACGCATACAGATGTGGCCCTTCTGAAAGACCAGCTCCTTATTCGTGTACACCTAGCGCGCCGCGTATTGTACTATACCAGATGACAAGAACTACCTGTATTTTCCACTTGAATATTGAAGTTTCAACACGGAAACCCTTCAGATGCAGAAATCAGGCAGCAGGGTGGTGCACCGCCACAAAGATACATCTTCCTGCCCTCACAGGCACTAATGATATCTCCGCTGTACTGAAACTGCGGACACATATGACTAATAAAGAGCGTTGTTGAACCTCTGCCGTCCGTTAAAAAATGCAGGCTCTAAATTTGGGCGTTGGAGACAGTGTGCCCGTAATTACTGCCCGCTTTGAAAATGGAGAGACAAACAGTGCAGCTCTCCAGCAGTATCCGGACAAGATGGTGTCATCAGGTGTGCAGTCCCGTCGCGGCCTCGTGCATAAAAGCTCTCGCGGGCGCAGTGGCGCGGCCTTCTTGGCATCTGCTGCAGCGCTTGTTGTGCTAATCTTCTTGTGTACGCGAGGTCTGAAGAAGTTGAATCAAATGCCTGCTTATGGTCGGCAGTTGTCGGGGATTGACAACTTCAGGTTGGATGTCAAACGCCGATGGTGCAATGAATTCCCAGAAAATGCAAATATTTCGTCTGGTGACATGAAGGCGGGGGTGGTTATCAAGTTCAAGCCTCGTGCCAAACGTGCACGTGTTGAGACGGAGTCTGATGATAGTGGCGAGCTGTCCAGTGTTGACACAGGTGTGCAACAGACGGCACGGGCCTCATCGGAGGGGGCTATTGGACCAACTGTCGCAACTGCACAGCGTCAACCACTGTCTCTCCTCAGTGGTTCTAAGGGTGGAGCTGGGCGGTTGAGTGCGTACGAACTTCAAGCGGCTGCTGCACTTCAAGAACTGTGGAAGAGGAATCGTTTCACGGTTGATGCCGGTCAGCAGCCTAAACAACAGGTTGAGGAGAAGGCCCAGCCTTCAACGAGTGCGGCAGCACAGGGGGAAGGCAGTGAGAAAAAGGTCTCATTACTACATTCAATTGTCGCACGCAAACCACTTTTGGAGCTTGATGCACTTACTGGTGCTTATATAGATATACGCTTTCACCCCTTTTGCCATTTGCCATTTGTGGACCCCAGCCAAATCGCCAGGACTTTGTTGCCGGAGTCCGCCCTTACGCCATCGTACACAGTAGATAGACCCCTACCACTCATGTTGAGGGCATACGACCTCTTTAGCAGAGCATTCCTGCCCAAGAATGAATTGGAGGTGGCAACATATATTGCAGAACGGCTAGCAGCGTACGCAATACATTTCCAAACAAGTCAACTGTCTGGTCGTCCATCGTCTCGGGCAATCCAGATGCTAGGTATCCGTTTTCTGATATTTGATGTCATTGTTTCAGTTCTAGAGTTACTGGGTCAGCGAGCAGAAGGGCTTTGGTGGGAAAAGCTTTCTAGGTCCGTACCTCACGAGTATATCCCGACACTCGTAAATGCTCATTTGAGTAGAAAGACCAAAACACTCAACATTTACCTTCAGAAGCTCAGCGCGGCTTTGAAGACTTTCAAGTCAGGAAAACGCCCTTCATGTACAGTGCTCATCACCCTTAAGCAATTCTTGATTTGTTCGCCCTATGCTCCTGCCTACTTCAAAAGTAAAGAGTTCAATCCATGGAGACACGCGAACGAAAGTTTCACTGTTGCTCGAAAAGGAGTCATCATAGGATAGCATTAAGACTTGCCTTCGCCTTGAAGCTGATTGAAGGGATCCTTAACTTCACCAAGGTGTTTTGGACAGAAATCGTTAGCATGTTGGCTTTGCGAGAACGCAGGTGCACGGGCCACGCGCATGATGCAGTGTACAGTGAGTTTTCTTGTGGGTTGTTTCGGAGAGAGTCGCAAGCATCGGCAAAGCAGGGAAGAAAAGTGGTCCATGCAAACCCTGCGTCTGCGGCCCCATTACTTTGACCAGCGACCCCAAACAAGAGGACTGGTTGTGTTTTTGTATCGGACCAAAAATGTGCAACCCCGAACAGCAATTGCTTGTCTTGAAACTGCGCCGATGACAGCGCCGTTGACAAACTCCTGGGCCGCTGAAGGATCAGGCTTCGGCCACTGTAAATCATCAACTTTTATGCATTTGTCCCAACAAGCAGAATTTCTTAATTCAATATTTTGTCCTGGTGCTTCGGATTCACATAAGCAGATGCATGGCACGGCGCTTTGAAAGAATGTCAATGAAGCAAACCTCATATGCCGGGCGATTATTAGTAGCCCATATGCTGCTTTAGTAGTGATACCTCGTGCAGGTTCGACTGGCTGGTTTACTCTTGAAAGTTTGTATTATTGTGGAGGCCCTTGAACAGCAAATAGCACTCCTCGTGCTCTGTGTTGAAAAAAATGGCTTGCATGTTTGATGCGTTCGGGCCGTACGTCTAGCTAAAGCTCGTGCAAGTAGAAAAGTACACATTTTTGCCCGTTTCTTTCTACTTCCAACGATATCGGCCAGCTGGGAACTTTGCAGCTTGACACTCCATGGTAGTTCCGTCGCGGTGACCTCTACCGCTTGGCCTTCCAGCTCTCTTGCACGAACAAATCCACAAGAGAAGAATTAAAGTGACCAGCGATGAAGGGAGTCATAGGATCACAAGATACCACGTGTTGATCATTTCAGTGCTGCTGTCGCAAGGGGAAGAAATAATTTCAATACTGAAGCAGCTCTGTGGGCTCCCCGCTGCAGCTTGCGTCAAGTGCCTCCGCAGCTATGCCTTTGACAGCTTATACGTCTGCGTATCTGCAAAAGAAACAAGTTGGTCACGGACCCAGGTGGCACGCTGCCTGGACAGGAACAGGCTCGACTAATGCAGAAGCACTGACACAGTATGACGAAGAGCTTCAACGTGGACATGGCTTCAGGTGAAGTGGTGCCCTCGCTCCGGATTCTGGAGGATATACCTCTGTAAAGTTAATAAGTGGCCACAAATTTGAACATTGGTTCATTGTAGCATCGTTTTATACCGAGCTCAGCGCACGTCGTGGGTAGCCACTGTTACACCTACATAAAGTCCGGCAAAATGTTGGGCTGCATCAGAATGCACTGCTAGCTGCGATAATAAAGCTTTTTAGCGCAAAATCAGTCCCTCTCTGTAGAAATTTCGTCTCGTGTTTACTTGTGTCGAAAGTGGCTCCTGAGCCTCCCAGATAGTTCTGGAAATCTGATGCTTGTATAAGCCTCACTAGAAAGGGTAATAGTCTGCAAACAAAACGTGGCATACGCGTGCTTTTGCTTAGCAGGCGTTTGTGGAGCATCAGCGAGGTACGCCAGCGAACATGAGCAGTCATAACGTTTTGTGCAGCTCTATGGAGGAAGTACGTAAACGAAAGTGGGGAGGGCAAACAGAGGCGCCGAATCAGTCGGTCATCATTTACAGTATTAATACTGCTGAAATGTCACTGAAAGTGTCGACAGGAATTGAGCGCAGTCACTGGCATTGAACATTGGAGAGAATACAGGGCCAGCACAGCGGTCAGCACAAACTGACGCCCCAGTGCTGCAGTTGCCGTGCGGTACGATTCAAGCTCCCGTTTCCAAGGAGACAAAGCTATCATTATTCTGTATAGAGTACATAGAAATTGGGATGTTCCTGATGCTGAGCATAAGGGAGGCTGCGCATCCTGAAACATGCAGGCTCTACACACAGGATCGGTCCGTCATTTGTGAGTGAGTCACTCAACATCCCTCAGAAGCCAGCATACGCGTAACAAAGCTGATGTTTAGCCTATTCTACCAGCTTCCAAAGCTCCTTATCTCCATCATTTCAGGGATCCACGCCAAAATTCGGCAGCCGTAAGGCCACGAAGACTAGATTACGGGATGCTGAATCGACACAAGGATTCATCCTAAGTAACATTGAGAGACCAATGAAATATGTGCTATGCTGGTTCTGTCGGCACATATTACTGAGAAAGCATACTGCTGAGCCTCTAGTGACCGCCAAAAAATGCAGGGTTTAAATTTGGGCGTTGGAGACAATGTACCTATAATTGCTGTCGTCTCTGAAGATTTAAAGACAAAAAGTGCAGCTCTCCAACAGTATGCGGGCAAGATACAGTCATCAGTTGTGCAGTCCCGTCGCAGCCTCGTGCATAAAAGCTCTCGCGGGCGCAGTGGCGCGGCCTTCTTGGCATCTGCTGCAGCGCTTGTTGTGCTAATCTTCTTGTGTACGCGAGGGCAGAAGAAATTGAATCAACTGGCTGCTTATGGTCGGCAGTTGTCGGAGGATGACGACTCCAGGTCGGTTGCTAAACGCTTATGGTGCAATGATTTCTCAGAAAATGCAGATATTTCGTCTGGTGACAAGAAGGCGGAGGTCACTACAAAGCTCATGCTTCGTACCAAACGTGCACGTGTTGATGTAGGGCCTGATGGTAGTAGGGGGCTGTCTAATGTTGACGCAAGTGTGCAACAAGCGGCAGGGCCCTCATCGAAGGGGGCCATTGTACGAACTGGCGCAACTCCACGTCGTCGCCTACGGCGTCGCGTACGGCGTCGCCCCAGTGCTTCTAAGAGTAAAGCTGGGCAGTGGAGTGCGTATGAACTCCAAGGGGCTGCTGGACTGCACATATTATGGGCGAAGGCTTCCTCTGTAGCTAAACTAAGAGGTGCAGGTTCAGTGTGTTGTTCAGAGAGTGGTATAAGCTCATCTGTGCCGCTGAGTGAGCGTGAACTTCAAGCAGTTGCTGCGTTGCACCAATTGGGGGAATTGACTGGCTCCGAGGGCGCCACTGGTGGAAAGCATGATGAGCAGGTGGAGGATGAGGGTCAGCCTTCAACGAGTGCTGTTGCAGGCAATGGCGAAAAGCACTGGCTACCGCATGCGCATCTCGCATGCAAGGCGAATTTAGATGTTGATACATTTACAACTGCCCATACGGATTTACGCTTCCACCCATTTTGCCGTTTGCCGCTTGTGGACAGTAACGGAATCACGAGGGAGTTTATGCCGGAGATCGCCGTTGGCTCATCGGCAACAGATAAACCCCTGCCGCTTTTGTCGAAAGCTTGCGAGCTACTCGCCAAGGCATTTCTGTCGCCTGAAGAACTGGATGCGGTGTCATATATTGCAGAACGGCTAATCGCCCACGCAGTAGAATGCCAAACGCGTGATCTGAGAGGTCTCCCGTCACATCGGGCTATCCAGATACTAGGCGTTCGCTTTCTTATATTTGATATTATTGTGTCAGCTGTAGATTTGCTGGGTCAGCGACCAGAAGGGTCATGGTGGGAAAAACTTTCCAACTCCGTACCTCACTTTTATGGTGAAAGGCCTAGAGGTCTTCGTGTAAGTAAAAGGAGCAAAGTACTCAACCTTGTTGCTCAACAACTTAGCGCGGCTTTGAAGTGTTTGAAGTCGGGGATACGCCCTTCGTGTACAGTGCTGATCAGCCTTAAGCAATTCTTGACTTGTTCGCCCTATGCTCCTCCCTTCTTCAAACAGAGCTCGTTTGATTCATGGAGGAAGGCCAACAACAGTTTTGTTGTTTCTCGAAAAGGAGTCATCATAGGATAGCATTAAGACTTGCCTTCGCCTTGAAGCTGATTGAAGGGATCCTTAACTTCATCAAGGTGTTTTGGACCGAAATCGTTAGCATGTTGGCTTTGCGAGAACGCAGGTGCACGGGCCACGCGCATGATGCAGTGTACAGTGAGTTTTCTTGTGGGTTGTTTCGGAGAGAGTCGCAAGCATCGGCAAAGCAGGGAAGAAAAGTGGTCCATGCAAACCCTGCGTCTGCGGCCCCATTACTTTGACCAGCGACCCCAAACAAGAGGACTGGTTGTGTTTTTGTATCGGACCAAAAATGTGCAACCCCGAACAGCAATTGCTTGTCTTGAAACTGCGCCGATGACAGCGCCGTTGACAAACTCCTGGGCCGCTGAAGGATCAGGCTTCGGCCACTGTAAATCATCAACTTTTATGCATTTGTCCCAACAAGCAGAATTTCTTAATTCAATATTTTGTCCTGGTGCTTCGGATTCACATAAGCAGATGCATGGCACGGCGCTTTGAAAGAATGTCAATGAAGCAAACCTCATATGCCGGGCGATTATTAGTAGCCCATATGCTGCTTTAGTAGTGATACCTCGTGCAGGTTCGACTGGCTGGTTTACTCTTGAAAGTTTGTATTATTGTGGAGGCCCTTGAACAGCAAATAGCACTCCTCGTGCTCTGTGTTGAAAAAAATGGCTTGCATGTTTGATGCGTTCGGGCCGTACGTCTAGCTAAAGCTCGTGCAAGTAGAAAAGTACACATTTTTGCCCGTTTCTTTCTACTTCCAACGATATCGGCCAGCTGGGAACTTTGCAGCTTGACACTCCATGGTAGCTCCGTCGCGGTGACCGCTACCGCTTGGCCTTCCAGCTCTCTTGCACGAACAAATCCACAAGAGAAGAATTAAAGTGACCAGCGATGAAGGGAGTCATAGGATCACAAGATACCACGTGTTGATCATTTCAGTGCTGCTGTCGCAAGGGGAAGAAATGATTTCAATACTGAAGCAGCTCTGTGGGCTCCCCGCTGCAGCTTGCGTCAAGTGCCTCCGCAGCTATGCCTTTGACAGCTTATACGTCTGCGTATCTGCAAAAGAAACAAGTTGGTCACGGACCCAGGTGGCACGCTGCCTGGACAGGAACAGGCTCGACTAATGCAGAAGCACTGACACAGTATGACGAAGAGCTTCAACGTGGACATGGCTTCAGGTGAAGTGGTGCCCTCGCTCCGGATTCTGGAGGATATACCTCTGTAAAGTTAATAAGTGGCCACAAATTTGAACATTGGTTCATTGTAGCATCGTTTTATACCGAGCTCAGCGCACGTCGTGGGTAGCCACTGTTACACCTACATAAAGTCCGGCAGAATGTTGGGCTGCATCAGAATGCACTGCTAGCTGCGTCATAATTAAGGTTTTTAGCCCGAAATCAGTCCCTCTTTGTACAAATTTCAAGTTTCGAGTTGACTGGTTGTGTCGAAAGTGGCTCCTGAGCCTCCTAGATAATTCTGGAAATCTGACGTTTGTATAAGCCTCACTAGAAAGGGTAATAGTCTGCAAACAAAACGTGGCATACGCGTGCTTTTGCTTAGCAGGCGTTTGTGGAGCATCAGCGAGGTACGCCAGCGAACATCGAGCAGTCACAACGTTTTGTCCAGCTATATGCAAGTACATAAACGAAAGTGGAGAGGGCAAACAGAGGCGCCGAATCAGTCGGTCATCATTTACAGTATTAATACTGCTGAAATGTCACTGAAAGTGTCGACAGGAATTGAGCGCAGCCACTGGCACTGAACGTTGGAAAGCATAAAAAGTTAGCAAAAGGGTCAGGACAAGTTCTGGGCAACGGCACGAAAGCCCCAGTGCTGCATTTGCCGTGTGGTGCAATTCAAGTCCCCGTTTCCAAGCAAATAAAGCTATCATTATTCTGTATAGAGTACATAGAAATTGGGATGCTCCTGATGCTGAGCATAAGGGAGGCTGCGCATTCTGCAACATGCACGTACGCAGGATCGGTTCGTTATTTGCGAGTGAGTCACTCAACATCCCTCAAAAGCCAGCATACGCGTAACAAGGCTGATATTTAGCCTATTCTACCAGCTTCCAAAGCTCCTTATCTCCATCATTTCAGGGATACACGGACAACCGTAAGGCCACGAAGACTAGATTGCGGGATGCTGAATCGACACAAAGATTCACGCTAAGTACCATTGGGAGACCAATGAAATATGTGCTATGCTGGTTCTGTCGGAACATATGACCAATAAATCGCCCTGCTGAGCTTCTGCTGCCCGTCAAAAAATGCAGGCTCTAAATGTGGGCGTTGGAGACAATGAGCCTGTATTTACGGTCCTCTTTGAAAATGAAAAGGCAAACAGTGCAGCTCTCCAACAGTATGCGGGCAAGATACAGTCATCAGGTGTGCAGTCCCGTCGCAGCCTCGTGCATAAAAGTTCTCGCGGGCGCAGTGGCGCGGCCTTCTTGGCATCTGCTGCAGCGCTTGTTGTGCTAATCTTCTTGTGTACGCGAGGGCAGAAGAGATGGGATCAACTGGCTGCTTATGGTCGGCAGTTGTCGGAGGATGACGACTCCAGGCTGGTTGCCAAACGCTCATGGTGCAGCGATTCGGGAGGAGAGGCAGATATTTCGTCTGATGATGATACGACGGAGATGCCTCCAATGCTTAAGCCACTTGCCAAACGTGCACGTGCTGAGGCGGAGTCTGATGGTAGTAGGGGGCTGTCTAATGTTGACGCAGGTGTGCAACAAGCGGCAGGGCCCTCATCGAAGGGGGCCATTGGATCAACTGGGGCAACTGCACGTCGTCGCCTACAGCGTCGCGTACGGCGTCGCCCCAGTGCCTCTAAGAGTAAAGCTGGGCAGCTGAGTGCGTATGAACCTCAAGGGGCTGCTGGACTGCACATCTTATGGGCGAAGGCTTCCTCTGTAGCTAAACTAAGAGGTGCAGGTTCAGTGTGTTGTTCAGAGAGTGGTACAAGCTCATCTGTGCCGCTGAGTGAGCGTGAACTTCAAGCAGTTGCTGCGTTGCACCAATTGGGGGAATTGACTGGCTCCGAGGGCGCCACTGGTGGAAAGCATGATGAGAAGGTGGAGGATGAGGGTCAGCCTTCAACGAGTGCTGTTGCAGGCAATGGCGAAAAGCACTGGCTACCGCATGCGCATCTCGCATGCAAGGCGAATTTAGATGTTGATACATTTACAACTGCCCATACGGATTTACGCTTCCACCCATTTTGCCGTTTGCCTCTTGTGGACAGTAACGGAATCACGAGGGAGTTTATGCCGGAGATCGCCGTTGGCTCGTCGCCAACGGATAGACCCCTGCCGCTTTTGTCGAAAGCTTGCGAGCTACTCGCCAAGGCATTTCTGTCGCCTGAAGAACTGGATGCGGTGTCATATATTGCAGAACGGCTAATCGCCCACGCAGTAGAATGCCAAACGCGTGATCTGAGAGGTCTCCCGCCACATCGGGCTATCCAGATACTAGGCGTTCGCTTTCTTATATTTGATATTATTGTGTCAGCTGTAGATTTGCTGGGTCAGCGACCAGAAGGGTCATGGTGGGAAAAACTTTCCAACTCCGTACCTCACTTTTATGGTGAGAGGCCCAAAGGTATTCGTGGAAGTAGAGAGAGCAAAGTACTCAACCTTGTTGCTCAACAACTTAGCGCGGCTTTGAAGTGTTTGAAGTCGGGGATACGCCCTTCGTGTACAGTGCTGATCAGCCTTAAGCAATTCTTGACTTGTTCGCCCTATGCTCCTCCCTTCTTCAAACAGAGCTCGTTTGATTCATGGAGGAAGGCCAACAACAGTTTTGTTGTTTCTCGAAAAGGAGTCATCATAGGATAGCATTAAGACTTGCCTTCGCCTTGAAGCTGATTGAAGGGATCCTTAACTTCATCAAGGTGTTTTGGACCGAAATCGTTAGCATGTTGGCTTTGCGAGAACGCAGGTGCACGGGCCACGCGCATGATGCAGTGTACAGTGAGTTTTCTTGTGGGTTGTTTCGGAGAGAGTCGCAAGCATCGGCAAAGCAGGGAAGAAAAGTGGTCCATGCAAACCCTGCGTCTGCGGCCCCATTACTTTGACCAGCGACCCCAAACAAGAGGACTGGTTGTGTTTTTGTATCGGACCAAAAATGTGCAACCCCGAACAGCAATTGCTTGTCTTGAAACTGCGCCGGAGACAGCGCCGTTGACAAACTCCTGGGCCGCTGAAGGATCAGGCTTCGGCCACTGTAAATCATCAACTTTTATGCATTTGTCCCAACAAGCAGAATTTCTTAATTCAATATTTTGTCCTGGTGCTTCGGATTCACATAAGCAGATGCATGGCACGGCGCTTTGAAAGAATGTCAATGAAGCAAACCTCATATGCCGGGCGATTATTAGTAGCCCATATGCTGCTTTAGTAGTGATACCTCGTGCAGGTTCGACTGGCTGGTTTACTCTTGAAAGTTTGTATTATTGTGGAGGCCCTTGAACAGCAAATAGCACTCCTCGTGCTCTATGTTGAAAAAAATGGCTTGCATGTTTGATGCGTTCGGGCCGTACGTCTAGCTAAAGCTCGTGCAAGTAGAAAAGTACACATTTTTGCCCGTTTCTTTCTACTTCCAACGATATCGGCCAGCTGGGAACTTTGCAGCTTGACACTCCATGGTAGTTCCGTCGCGGTGACCGCTACCGCTTGGCCTTCCAGCTCTCTTGCACGAACAAATCCACAAGAGAAGAATTAAAGTGACCAGCGATGAAGGGAGTCATAGGATCACAAGATACCACGTGTTGATCATTCCAGTGCTGCTGTCGCAAGGGGAAGAAATGATTTCAATACTGAAGCAGCTCTGTGGGCTCCCCGCTGCAGCTTGCGTCAAGTGCCCCCGCAGCTATGCCTTTGACAGCTTATACGTCTGCGTATCTGCAAAAGAAACAAGTTGGTCACGGACCCAGGTGGCACGCTGCCTGGACAGGAACAGGCTCGACTAATGCAGAAGCACTGACACAGTATGACGAAGAGCTTCAACGTGGACATGGCTTCAGGTGAAGTGGTGCCCTCGCTCCGGATTCTGGAGGATATACCTCTGTAAAGTTAATAAGTGGCCACAAATTTGAACATTGGTTCATTGTAGCATCGTTTTATACCGAGCTCAGCGCACGTCGTGGGTAGCCACTGTTACACCTACATAAAGTCCGGCAAAATGTTGGGCTGCATCAGAATGCACTGCTAGCTGCGTCATAATTAAGGTTTTTAGCCCGAAATCAGTCCCTCTTTGTACAAATTTCAAGTTTCGAGTTGACTGGTTGTGTCGAAAGTGGCTCCTGAGCCTCCTAGATAATTCTGGAAATCTGACGTTTGTATAAGCCTCTCTAGAAAGGGTAATAGTCTGCAAACAAAAAGTGCCATACACCTGCTTTTGATTAGGAAGTGTTTGCGGAGCATCAGCGAGGTACGCCAGCGAACATCGAGCAGTCACAACGTTTTGTCCAGCTTTATGCAAGTACATAAACGAAAGTGGAGAGGGCAAACAGAGACGCCGAATCAGTCGGTCATCATTTGCAGTATTAATACTGCTGAAATGTCACTGAAAGTGTCGACAGGAATTGAGCGCAGTCACTGGCATTGAACTTTGGAGAGCATAAGGGTCAGCACAAGTTCTGGGCAATGGCACCAAAGCCCCAGTGCTGCAGTTGCCGTGCGGTACGATTCAAGCTCCCGTTTCCAAGGAGATACAGCCATCATTATTCTGTATATGAGTATATAGAAATTGGGATGTTCCTGATGCTGAGCATAAGGGAGGCTGCGCATTCTGCAACATGCACGTGCACAGGATCCCATCGGTTCGTTATTTGCGAGTGAGTCACTCAACATCCCTCAAAAGCCAGCATACGCGTAACAAAGTTGATATTTAGCCTTTTGTGCCAGCTTCCAAAGTTCCTTATCTCCATCATTTCAGGGATCCACGCCAAAATTCGGCAGCCGTAAGGCCACGAAGTTTAGATTGCGGGATGCTGAATCGACACAAAGATTCATCCTTAGTACCATTGGGAGACCAATGAAATATGTGCTGTGCTGGTTCTGTCGGCACATATGACTAATAAAGCGCCCTGCTGAGCCTCTGCTGCCCGTCAAAAAATGCAGGCTCTAAATGTGGGCGTTGGAGAAAATGAGCCTGTATTTACGGTCCTCTTTGAAAATGAAAAGGCAAACAGTGCAGCTCTCCAACAGTATGCTGACAAAATAGTGTCATCAGGTGTGCAGTCCCGTCGCGGCCTCGTGCATAAAAGTTCTCGCGGGCGCAGTGGCGCGGCCTTCTTGGCATCTGCTGCAGCGCTTGTTGTGCTAATCTTCTTGTGTACGCGAGGGCAGAAGAGATGGGATCAACTGGCTGCTTATGGTCGGCAGTTGTCGGAGGATGACGACTCCAGGCCGGTTGCCAAACGCTCATGGTGCAGCGATTCGGGAGGAGAGGCAGATATTTCGTCTGATGACGATACGACGGAGATGCCTCCAATGCTTGAGCCACTTGCCAAACGTGCACGTGCTGAGGCGGAGTCTGATGGTAGTAGGGAGCTGTCTAATGTTGACGCAGGTGTGCAACAAGCGGCACGGCCCTCATCGAAGGGGGCCATTGGATCAACTGGCGCAACTGCACGTCGTCGCCTACGGCGTCGCGTACGGCGTCGCCCCAGTGCTTCTAAGAGTAAAGATGGACAGTGGAGTGCGTACGAACTTCAAGCGGCTGCTGGACTGCTGAAACTGTGGCCGGCATCATCCTCTATAGCTGAATCCCCTGGAGCACCTCAACTGTGTTGTCCAGAGAGTCGTACAAGCTTACCTGTGCGGCTGAGTACGCGTGAACTTCAAGCAGTTTCTGCGTTGCACCAATTGGGGGAATTAACTGGCTCTGAGGGCGCCACTGGTGAGAAGCATGATGAGCAGGTGGAGCTGGAGGATGAGCCTCAGCCTTCAACGAGTGCGGCAGCACAAGGAGTTGAAGTTGACGAACAGCAGCGGTTGCTAGACTCGGTCGTACAGGACCTACTGTCTACTGTTACTCCGTCTTCTGCTGGCGGCTCTACCTCAGCGGGGCAAGAAGACCCGACTACACATCCATTTTGTCGTTTGCCGTCTGTTGACCGTAGTGAAATCGTGCGACGTTTTGACCCAGATCGTGTCTTTCTTCCCCCTCAGGTGACGGACAAACCGTTCCGACAATTTTTAATAGCTCATGATCTTCTCGTCAAGCCGAGACTTTCTCCCAAGGAATTATTGTATCTAACTCGCGCTGCGGAGAATCTAGCAGCTTACGCTGTGTCGTTTCAAAATTTTAGTATTCGGGATCTTCATGCGAATGTCGCTGCCAGGCATCTCGGCCTCCGTTTCCTCGTGTTTGACATCCTAGTGTCCACATTAGAGCTGCTCGATCAAAAGCCGGAAGGCGCTTGGTGGAAGAGACTTACTGCTGCAGTCCCTCACGACTACCCTCCGTCTCCCATTCTTCATAGCTTGACAGCAACACGCCTATTCAACTTAGTCCTCTGCCACATGCTTACCACTTCCTTGGAAACTTTGAAGTCTGGGAGTCGTCCGGCATGTAGTAGAATTTTGGGACTCAAGCGGTTCCTCTTTTGCTTTAAACAATCTCCTCCGCGTTTCAGAACGGCTTCTTTTGATGCCTGGAGAAATGACGACAAGGGTTTCTCTGAAGGGTTTAAAGGGCCGCCTTAGGAGCGTGTGAGTGTGAAGGGCCATTTCTTCCAAACGTGCATTTGAGGGATTATCCGGCCTCATGAGGGAGCGTGATTGGGTGATTTTCCACATGAAGATGGCCGGAAAATGCAAGCGAATGTTTGATTGTGCATGATTTAGTATGTGGCATACGTCGTCACGAGAAAGGTGCAGCCGTGAAAACAACCCTCCACACATTTCGCAAACAGGAGTGATGTTAGACGAGCCGCTGCGACTCTGGGCATTTGTCTTGTACGTACCGGAACATGAGCGCAAAGTCTTACACACGCGTACGGGTGTGGAGCCAGACAGCACTTTCTCTAGCATTGATTTCACTTCAACGTTAATATTGTGCAAGCATTTCACCCACCATTGCTATGAGGAATTCCTAAGGCTTGCAGGCATTGCTTTCATGAACTGCACCGCTCCACTCGTTGTTCCAAAAGCAAATGCTTTGGCAAATGAACGCACGGAAATCTAATCAGTGGAGTAGCCGCTGCAAATGCAGTATGTAAACACTGCGAAATTTACATGTACACTTCATATGGAGTGCCAGCGGGAGTTGTTCTGCATGAATCCATGCTCGGCGTAGTAGTGCGGTTCCGCCCCTTTTGCGGCGACCCCTTCAGTGCAAGGAATTGTGTCTGCATTCCATTTCGGATATTTGATATACCTCGACGATTGAGCAAAACATCTATATCGCGCAAGGCTCATGGCCGCATGAGGCGGCCTTTTCTCAAATCTGAGCCACTGCTTCTGAATTTCGGTAGAACGTAGCAACCGAAGAACTCGCCACCGAGCTCGTTTTAGCAGCTCGGCAGTACTGGGAGAAAGCTGCAAATCATGGGCCGGCAATAATACGCAGATCAGATGGAAGAACGAGTCCGAAAAGGGAGCTTTTAGCAAGTTATTGGGGATGCAACCTACTGACGGGATACTGCTAAGGAAAGGGAGAAGAATGGAGAGCTTGCAAACTTTCTGGCTTCCATTCCAAAGCTTGCACCCTATGCCAATCCAACTACACTTCAGCTGCAAATTTATTGATAAGTGCAGAAGAGCGCTGATTACCGCTCCCGCAGCGACGGTGAAGAGAGCTCGGTGGCAAACAACAATTGTAGGTTTTTCAAGCTCTGTAAATGGAGCATAGCTTTCCAAACAGCGTTGAGGGGTCAAGTTGCAGCAGTACCAGCCCATGTAGATTCACCGTTGATTAAGGAAGGTGCGCATTCTAGGGTGCTTGGGTAATTTGTCGCGGGAGTTCAGCTGTGGAGCTGGCAAATTGCAGACTCAGCAAAGTCTCTAGTGTGTTGCTGCCATTTTTATTTGCGTTTGCGATGGAAACGGATTGTCGAGCAAGATAGACGTGTGAATCCACTTTTCTGTGCCGACTAAGCTGACTTCAGCTTAGCTGTGCACTACAGAAGCGTTGCCTTCCGTTGTAGTTCCGTTGTGCTGTTAAGCTCAATAGAGAAGTTACATTTTTGCCTCAGGGCACTTGCCAAATGGACTTTTTTGTCTAGGGGTCGTCACAATATGGTCGTGGATAAGATTGCCGCTTTGGACTGGCTAGACAAAAATAATTTCATAAGGCTACGCACCTTTCAAACCTCGTGTCCTCCGTGAGATACTTCACCAACTAGTTCAGCAGCTGCTACAACACAGCACCCAATTACTACAGTTCACGCAGACCAGAAGTGCAGGCAATACCCAATTGCTACAGTGCACTTGGACGGGGAACGAACCCAATCGGTCTGTTTACGGCGTTCACCAGTTTGACAGCGCAACCAGCTGCTGAACAGGCACAGCATGCGTAAGTCCTCTACAGGAAACGTGCAATTCATGTCAAGAGACGCTCTATCAAGGAAAGCAAAGACAGCAAAGAAACCACTTGCATTCGTTCACACTCCTTTCGGAACTGATCCGGCCCAGAAGCAGCACATGCCCCGATTAAAAGCAATAATCTGCATTTTAAATAAGTATTTCATAAACAAAAAGTCGCGTGCATCAAGCTGAGATGTGAAGGAGCACTCAGGCTGATGGCGAAGACGTGTACAAACGGCTTAACGCCGGCCCCAACGCTGCAGCAGTGATGGCCTCTCAGTTACCTTTTATTCCATCAAGGCTGCTTAGGTGTCTAGACATTAGGGCGTCCAATGAGCTGCCTTTCGCTTTGCAGAATTCTAAACAGGCTCACGGATGAGCTTCACTCAAGCAGTTAAGCTCGAGTTGCTATGTGGGCGCCGCATGCGCTCATGGCGATTAACGACAACTGGGGGATTAACTGAGAGGCATTTGCATCTTGTAGCCATCCGTTTTTGATTTAAAACATATCAAGTATTACTGAGGCTGCATGTGCTTGTGTGCTGCAGTCGCTGTAGCGGCACCACCGGCGGATCGCGGGTGCCGACGAACGTAACTGCGTGGCACTACTCATACCACAAGCCCAAAGATGAAATTTGTGCACTATCTTGTTTTCTCACTGTTTGGTTTTCCCAGTGATGCTGCGATCCAAACTTTTGGCTCTCCCGAAGTTCCCGAAGTTGCTTCGGCTAAACCGAGCACATGCAATGTAGATACACAGAGCAGCAGCGTTAGCTACGTCGAACCCCTAATCGATTTTCAGGCCAAAACTCTGAGGGATCTCCAGGCATATGTGGCATTGTTGGAAGAAAAGTTGGAAGAGAAGCTGGAGAAGCATGAGCGCCAGCAACGGGAGGAGCAGCGTTACATCTTTGTCTTCTTAGCCGTAGGCGCTTGTCTCGCAGTGGTTTGCCTTGTTGCTGTGGCAGCATGCCATGTGTACGTGCACTCACTACAAGACCAACTGAGCTGGATGCCCGAGCAACAGCAGCGTCACGAGCACCATCCCAGGCACCAAAAGGCAGTCGCTGCACAGTCAAAAGCGTGTGACGGTCGAGCACACGAGGAGCAGTTCTTCTCCCAAGACCACTTGAGGTTATCGTCCTTAGATTTTGCAGGGAGTCGCAGGAAGAGCAGCTGCAGCAGCTGTTGCAGTAACCATTCGCACCCCACTGCTGCATGCCTAGACACTGTCGAGGATGACTTGGGCGACGAACAAGACGTCCGGCTGTTCCCCACAAAAGAAGATGTTGGTAAGCCGCCATATACTACGGTGGATAACTTTGCAGTAGCTGGGCTTGACTTCGTTCACTACGGCAGCAGCAGCACAGACGCACAATCACTGCGTTGCGAATTTGTCCGTATGTATCTTGTGTAACAGAAAGAGCTATGGCTGTAGAAGAAGCGCGGGCTGCTGCAAAGTTGTCAACGGAGCTTCAGCAGCAGCAGCTGCAACTAGAGGCCCGTTGTTCCCGCCTCTTTGAAAGACTGCACGAGATAACGGATGCCAGCAGGGCTTTCTGCAGCAGCAGCAGTGAATCGGAGGCGGAAGTGGCGACAGACACTGCTACGTTGGCAAGGAAGAAATGTACAGAAGGCGAAGAAAAAGCTTCAACAGCAGCAGCGCGTGGAACCACAACAGACGGCGCAGGGAGTCCGACCCAGCTTCCTCGGCGTCAGAGGAAAAAGCAGAAGCTTGCGGCTGATCCGGAGCGTCTTGAGGAGCAGCAAACGCTGTTGCTTGAGTTACAGCAGCTCTTTAAGGAGATAGATAGCACATTTAATGGCAACAGGCCGGCTCATGTCTCTGCTATGATTCGCTGCTGCAACGCTCTGCTCCGGGCGGATGGCCTTGCGGTCCTCAAGGCGTGCGCGGATTGTCAGCCTCTCCACAACGCAGCGCAAAGTATAATTGAGACTGTCGTGCCGTGCATTTGGGCTACCTGATCACTAAGGCAGATAGAGGGTGTTCTGGCCGCATTTATTTACGCAAGTGCTCAGCGGCGGCGGGAGTACCGCGATGCTTGCAAGAAATGCAACGCAGCAGGCAGCCCGTGACTGCTGTTAGCAACAACTGGTCTTTCGTGGCCACATCACATCGCAGCGAACCTGCAGGAGGCAGGAGAGGGACTGGTGGAGGAGGAGTATACTGCTCATGCTCTTGCTGCGGACGATGCCACCACTGGCACTTGAGAACCCAGCACTTGTCGGGTGCTCGTGCAGTTTGTTGACTGGCGTCCGTGGAGGATAGCCGTCTTCCCCATTTGCAGTAACATGTAGGGTGCTGGCATTGGTGTTCCTGTGCGCGTGCTACAGTCGCTCCTTGGTGTCCAGCCGTACTCAGTTAATTTTGTAGACGGCGCTCTTTTTTATACCTTTGTATACATGCGGTGTTGTTTGCGCCCATGTAACGAAAGTCGGCGACTTTCTCGTTGACTCATCCTGCAGGAGGCTTGTTTGCTTTCTCATAATTTTTCCTACGCGTATAGTCTAGCGCAGTACCAAAGCTGTCCACGCCTATCGGTGCAGATGCAGTATTGCTTGTGTGCCGCAGCTTTGCATTTGCCACTGCGACAGTGAACTTGACATTGAGCCCGTATTGGGTGAACTTGACGCCAATGCGCGTAAAGAAAACAAATTAAACGACCGACAATTGCTTGAGTACTTGTCTAACTGAGCAAACTTGCTTGTACCTGCAACAAGAGCGGGGCTGCATAACTATGGGGTGTAGCGGCAGTAGCTCAGCTGGATCGACATGACAGGGAATAAAAAGACGCGGCAACACAGTTTCTGTGGACAGTGCGCACGCCAAATTTTGCTGTATCCCGGTGCCTCAAAGCTGTGGCAAGGCTACAGAAATTTCTGCATGTTATCTAGTTGTATGCTGATCTTCTTGCCCCTCGCTACCTTCAGGTTCGCCACGAAGAACCAGAGGAGGGATGTCAAAGGTGAGACAGTACATGCGCTTATGAGGAGCTACATCCCTCACCTGACCAGGACAAACACCGAGCAAAGAATATCAGTGCAAAGGACAGTAACGTGCAAACGCTACTGCAGGATGCGAAACCAATGCGAAATCAATCGAAAACCAAGAACGCAAAAGAAAAATTCTATGCAGCACAGGAGAGCGGTGACGTACTTCGTGTATCTCCACAGAATCCGGCCAATAGCCGAGGGCAGCTTCCACTCGTGGCTGCGGCGCAGCATTCTAAAAGACACAGTGACCCACTGTAAGCGAAAGCTAGGCCAATAATTGAGAATCTGTGCAGGCATGCTCCGCGAGGATAATCATGCTACATGGGACAACATATAAGGACACAAGCATGGCAAGGCATGCTTCCATGCGCCCCTTGACATATTCCACACACTTAAGACCTTACTTTGAGGTCTTGTTCAGGCTTTGGGTCCCTGCAAAAGGCGTAACAGTGAACGCGCCACTTGGATATCTGGTCTATCTGCGCAGCTCCTGTGGCGCTGCAGAGTCCTTCTGTTGGGCGGCGTCTCTTTGCTTGGGGCTCTGCTCGATTGAATAGCCCCGGAAATACATCTGAATCGCAACTCACGTAGGGATGACACGCTGTCAGGATACGCTCACTTTCCGATTATGGATATCCGCTGAAGAACGCCCAACAGATGCAACATATCATGTGCCCACGCTTTCGTCTTGCATGACGTAAGGTGATAGTCACAACTGAAAGACCCACCCAAAAATTCAACAGCTAGCTCTGGAAGATTCATTATTACATGCACCTCCACGGCTTGACGATGACTGCCCCACGTTTCTGCAGCTCCTGCAGCAGATAGACCAGAGTGGCCCCTGCGGTTATGTGTGCGTTTGTCTAGAAGGGTAGCAATCGCCTCTGGCTGTCCCTGAGTGCGAAGAAAGTCCCGAGCGTCTTGGTTGTGCACCTCTACCAAATCAGCTACCTGCAGCAGCATCGAGAGAAATCATTAAAAATGGGTAAAACGTCAACATCTTCAACATAATCTTCACGCGTGCAAATATACACAATCTGTGAACAACTAATCACGCTTCTTTTGCCTTTTGAGCAGCAAAATTGCAGAGGGTGCAGCAGCAGCGGAAGCAGTGCCAACAAATTTTCCTTCTCACTCCGTTCCTTTTTACATTTGTCCGCATATTCATTGCGGATGCGGGGTTGCCATCATTCGCAGCAACAATGCAACCGCTCCGCGCGAGGTAGACAGCGAATGCCCCGACACCGGCAAAGGCATCCACTACAGCATAAACGCATTAACAGGAAAACACATACATTGATGCAGTGGAAGCAAACGAACTCCAAGTTCGGAAGGGAGAGAGGAAGAGGGCTTACAGCCCTCACATAACTGTCATGAGCTATAGGCACATCGTATGCGCCAACATGCGTCTATCTATATTCCGCAGCTGCAGCTGCTTCTGCTACTTTGACTCCTGCAACTCTTTATGCTTGCTTCTGCTGTTTTGACTCCTGGGTCTCTTTTTGCTACTTAAAGCGCCCTGCGTAAAGCCGTGGATGCGGCTGTACGTACATACAACTGAGTCCTTGGGGACCGCAGCAGTAATGCGTTGCCGTTCGCATGAAAGCCTGCACATACCAGCCAATACAAACTCAATGCCGAATCATCACCCAGATTCGCCATGTATAAAAGCAAATCGCCACTTCGACAGGAACGTGAGTAACAGCCAGAACAGCTACAGCGCTCCCCATACAGCACTGGCATGCAACTGTACGAAAAGCTTATGTAGTCGCAACAAACCTAGAGTTCCAGAATGCCTTGGCATAGTCAACTTCAAAAATCATGTCGCTCTCCTTCTGCAGAGAATTGGCAACGCATCGGCAAAAATAGAGCAATATCGAAGAAAGTTCCCGCGCAATTGAGGGGATTTGGCGCCGCTCAGATGAAAAAGCCAAGGAGCGCCAAATCGTGAACGCAGTGAGCAAAGATCTGTAAGCCGGGTACTCATTGTGCGCTGGTGCTGGTATTGCTTTTGGCAGTTTCGGTGATATTGGTGCCCACCACTGTGGCAACGTAGGCCGCTTCGCCCGCAATGAGCTCAAACTGTAACTCTCTCCATTTTTCACCTATGCCCGTCTTCAAAACCACAGTGCGCAGCTGAGGGTGCTTCTGCAGTTGCAACACACCAGTCATGATCAGGGCTTTACAGCCGCCATACATTCAATACGAGCGAGCCGCCAGTAATGCCACAGATCAGCTTCTGTGGCGGCGTACATCCTCGTGAAAATGCAACAGTTCTGCCAGCTGCTTGAAGGAAACGCAAAGTAGCTTTGCACGCGGAAGAAGCGCCAATGCAACACAAAAGCAATTGCCTTTAAGAATGACCCATATGTAGAAAAAGAATGGCTGCATCAGCTGCAGCAGAGGCAGCAGCGCACATCTAAGACGACTTGACCGATGGCGTATTTGAACTTCAGAAGAGTGGCAGGAAGGTTAAGGTGAGCGATATGTCCCACGCATTCGAACCTGTGAGGCACTTCAGCGCCCTCTGGCAATAACGCCGTGAGGCATTCAACTGCGCGGAAAATTCAAGCAAAACAAAAACAGATACAGCTTGCAGCGAACTATCCTAGCCATACTCACGCAGTAGGTGAGTGATCGGTGCGTTTGTAAACAGAAGACTATGCTTGCCATGTTGATCCAACGCTGCGCGTTACATCAACATGGCCACGGGCGCACAACCCCGTCCAAGGAGTGTAGCAAGGACCACCCGCATACAAGGAACCAGCAAGGCCCACTGTGGCCATCTTCATAAAAGCAGTGGCTGCAGTAACAGCGGGTGGTGCATTCTGCAGCAGTAGCAGGGAAGCACTATATACCGGCAGAGAGATTCTCATAACCAACAGACACGCGGTGGCGCAGAACTTCAATCCCCGCATCCCTCACTTGACTCTGCAAGTCCTCCGGCAGCCCATCCAGCTCTTGAAACACACAAACAGTGAACTCGACTTGCCACATAGGCAGGAATGGCGTAGTACAAGCATCCCCCTGTCCAGCTACAACTGCAGCAAATACGGAAAGCTAAAGGCGTCGCATCTCCTCTGCCGTCCTTCGAACTGCCCACACGCCTACCTGGACCTATAGATGGGTCCAACAGCAGGCATTTGAAGCCTTTTGCGCTGTCTTTCTCCTTCGTTACCTCTGTGGGGTCGTGGGAGTGTTGTGGGAGCTCTTGTTGGCCTGCATCTCCGTCGCCGCTAGTTTGTTGCTCGTTCTGCATTTCCTGTTGCAATTCTCCCTGCCGCTCCTTCTCTGCAATGTCGGAAACGACGGGTCGCAAATTTCTGCGCTTGAAAAGATATCTGCAGTTGCAGAAAAACAACCTTGGCATAAAAAGGAAACGTGCCCAGAAGAAAAAATGCGCAGACGTTCACGGGCAGCGCGAAGGCTCTGGGACACAGGTGGCACTGCAGTAAAAACGGCGCATCGGCAGGGTCAGGAAGAGCCAGAAACATTCTTACTTTCTAAGCGCCTTGGAAAGCTCCTGCAGCTGATTCAGCGGGACTCGCAGGCATGTTACTTCTTCCTCTTTACAAAATGCGTCCTTGTTCAACTGGACAAACCCCGTGGTGTCCGTCTCCAGGGTAACCAGTGCTGCATCGGATGGTTTACCTTGTGCCTCTGCTGCTCCTCCTCCTCCCACTGCCGGTGCATCCGATGAGCCTCCATTGCTGAGAGCAGAATGCAAATAGGGAGGCATCCTACTGCTGTAGACTTGCTGATGCTGGTGATCCTCTTGCTGCCGTAAAACAATATTCAGAGCAGTGCCTGAACAACACGGGGAAGGAAGGGCGCGTTCGCCGTCAGTCAGCGCGTCGGCGTATATTAAACTGCTCCTGCCGTCGTTGCCTCCTTTATAGCGCATCCAGGCTTGCTGCTGTGGCTGCAGCAGAGCAGCTGCGCAGGCTGCTGTTGCAGCTACACGGAAACAACGAGGATTAGTGATTCCGTGACTCGACCTCCCGGCGCTTCGGGCCTTAAGAAACGAGAGACCTTTGAGGAATGTTGGCGCTGCAGCTGGTGATGCCTCTGTTGTCTCTGCTGCGGGTACTAGACAATTTCTGCTGCTGCCGCTGCTGTGGCGGAGACATTTATACTGAACAGTGCCTGAGGGCATCTATAGATTCCCCAGGTCGCGAACCTCCCTCGGCACTGTACTCCACTTACAACTAAAGGGC